TTGTACTTGGGTCTACCTTTTGCATAGGAAGTCTGATGTGCTCCCTATAATCACTCAGTTTTTACAGATGATTAAGACACAATTCGATGTCATTGTTCGTGCTCTTCGTTCGGATAATGCCAAAGAATATGTGTCTAATGCTTTAATGTCTCACCTTTCTTCTCAGGGTATCCTTCAGCAACTCACTTGTCCATATACTCCTGAGCAAAATGGTGTTGCTGAGAGGAAAAATAGGAGTTTGATAGGGATGGTACGTTGTCTGCTTAGAGGCATGAGGGTACCAAAATCTTATTGGCATTTTGCTGTTTTGACTTCTACCTTTCTGTGCAATCGTACGTCGAGTCGTGTTCTTCAGCATAAGGCTCCCTTATAGGTCTTATTTCCTGAGCGGACACCTTTTTCGGTCCCCCCTCGTATTTTTGGATGCACATGTTTTGTTCAAGATCGGTCTCCTACTCGTCATAAACTTGATGATAAAGCGATTCGTTGTATCTTTGTAGGCTATTGTCATCAATCTAAGGGGTATCGATGTTATGATCCTATTAGGCGTCGTATGTATCACAGTCTAGATGTTACCTTTCTTGAGCATATTCCTTATTTTCTTTCAGTCCTTTGTCTGCCCCTCCAGTTGATGATACTCCCTTTGATTTTCCATTACCACAAGAGTCAGAGTCATTGATCACTATCCCTACAGGGTCATCCATTTTTCCTCCAAAGGAGTCACTCATCCCTGTCAGTACAGAGTTACCAGTCTCTCTTTCTTTGCAGGTGTATGCTCGTTGTCCTCGCTCTCATCACCCTGCTGATATCCCCTCTACCTCAGGCGATGCAGGTAATACTTCTCAGTTTGTTGAGCATATTGATGCACCTGTTGTTAGTACTGATGAGATTACAGGTGCTGAGCCAGTTACTTTACCTGATAAGATATTATTAGTAGAGGATGGTGATTTAGGGCGTCATTTTCCAAGGCGTGATCGCCGTCCAGTTGATCGATATGGTTGGACCGCCAAGATTTTATATCCGATCTCTGCTTATGTTTCTTATGGTAATCTGTCTCCCACATTTCGAGCTTATACTATGGCCTTATCAGATACGCTGGTTCCTCGCTCTATTTCGGAAGCTATGCGGGAGCCCCAGTGGGTTCTTGCCATGCAGACAGAGATGGACGCTCTTCAGCGTAATCATACATGGGATCTTGTCTCCTTACCTTCAGGGGTGAAGCCTGTTGGCTGTCGCTGGGTTTACACCCTGAAGTTTCTGGCAGATGGTACTATTGATCGTTACAAGGCTAGACTTGTGGCGAAGGGCTTTACTCAGGTACCAGGTCATGATTTTGGTTCTACATTTGCCCCCATGGCAAAATTGACTACTGTTCGGTTAATTATTTCTCTGGCTGCGGAGTACTCTTGGCCTCTTCATCAATTAGATGTGAAGAATGCGTTTCTTCACGGTGATCTGAACGAGATTATTTATATGGATGCACCACCGGACTTTCGTGGTGAGGGGGAGTATGCTGGAAAGGTATGTCAACTGCGTAAATCTCTTTATGGACTGAAACAGTCGCCACGAGCCTGGTTCTCTCGCTTCAGTGATGTAGTCATACGATTGGGGTTCACCAGGTGTCATTCTGATCATACCTGCTTTATTCGACGGAATACTTCTGGACAGTGTGTCATCCTTCTGGTATATGTTGATAATATTATTATTACTGGTGATGATGTTTCTGGGACTGCGCAGGTCAAGATAGACCTTGGGAAGGCCTTCGATGTGAAGGATCTTGGATTTCTGCGATACTTTCTTGGGATTGAGGTTGCCCGTAGAAGCAGAGGTATTGTTCTTTCTCGGAGAAAGTATGTTTTGGATCTTCTTTCAGACACTGGGATGTTGGGGTGCAAACCGGCATTATCACCTATGATTCCAAACCTGAAGCTTACTGCTGAAGGTGAAGAGTTGAAAGATCCGACAGTTTATCAAAGATTGGTAGGTAGACTTATCTACTTAGCCAATACTAGGCCGAACATTTCATTCGCAGTCAGCCGAGTTAGTCAGTTCATGCATAGGCCATGTCAACCTCATCTTGATGCAGTTTATCATATTCTTCGGTACCTCAAGTCTTGTCCTGGACTTGGGTTGTTTTATGCATCAGGATCTCAGACCGGTTCTCTAGCCTGTTATTCAGATTCAGATTACGGGGGAGTATGTGATGGTCGATCTACTACGGGTTTCTGTGCTTTTCGAGGGACTCATCTTATCTCTTGGAACAGCAAGAAGCAGACAGTTGTCTCCCGCTCGTCCGTAGAGGCAGAGTATCGGGCATTGGCACTTGGCACATGTGAGATTATCTGGCTACGATCGATTCTTGACGAGTTGGGTTTTTCAGTGACCTCTCCATCCACATTATATTGTGATAATCAATCTGCTATTCAGCTCACTTCTGACTCTGTACTACATGAGAGAACGAAACATATAGAGATTGATGTTCACTTTCTTCGGGAGAAGGTCAGTAGTGGTCTTGTTACTCCATCGTTTGTGGGGACCAGTGATCAAGTTGCGGATGTTTTTACCAAACCTGTCACTCTGTCTATTCTTCGGGACTCCGTTGTCAAGCTTGGCTTAGTTGACTTTTTTGCGCCTACCTTGAGGGGGAGTGTTGGAGTATAGATAGTCTAGATTTATTAGGATTTCTTTTCCCTTTTTTACCCTTACTAAGATTTTTATATTTTGCCTAAACTACAAGGGTGTTTAAGTCACTCTGTATTATTTTTGGATATATATACGGGGCTCTACTCTTAATTTGAGTATCCCTTTTCACTTACATTTATTCCAAGTTAATGAAAGAAATCAATGCATGAAAACTTCAAAAATACAAAGAAAATAAAAAGACAGAGTGAGGAAGGAGAAAACCTTGTTCTTGTGTTGTGGCCACATCCATGGTAAGAAGAAAAGGTCAAGAAAATGAAAATCCTGCAAGTTGTAGAAAGATAAGAAAGAACAAATATGTTGAAGTCTTGAAACAATCAAATCCAAATCAGAACAATGCATCACCCAATAATTATAGTAAAAATCAATATAAAGCAAGCAAGGTTATAGAGAGAACAAAAGAAAATTATATGAAGAGCTTAACACAAAAATCCAAATCAGAACAATGCATCACCCAAAAATTATGTGCTTACAACTAGTATGTGTTACTGTAGATCTGTTGATTGCTTTTGAAACTTATGTGTTATTGTTTTGATTCCCTACTGTACGACTAACAGCAAACTGAGGAATCTCAAGAAGGGATTGCAAGAAAACAAAGCGACCCCTCTCTTGGACAGGCTGGTTTTTTACAAGGTCTGAAGATTTTCTCAACATTTACGTTGTAGCTTTTCTCTGTTTCTATTTAACAACGTTCATTTCATATACTTGAGATAATTGTAAGTGAAAGGGATACAAACTAAATGTAGAGTCCCGTATATATAGTCAATGAAAGTTACAATAAGGACAAAAAGATAAAAAAAGAAAACTTAATAAACCCTAATAAATTAGGCTGTTATATCTCCAACACTCCCCTTCAAGTTAGGCACAAAAGTGTCAACGGAGTCTCAAAGAATAGATAGAGTGACATGTTTGGTAAAAACATTCGCAACCTGATCATTGGTCCCCACAAACGATGGAGTACCAATACTACTGCTAACCTTCTCCCGAAGAAATTGAACATCGATATCTATATGCTTCGTTCTCTCGTGTAATATAGAGTTAGAAGTAAGCTGAATAGCAGATCGATTATTAAAATATAATGTAGATGAAGAAGTCACTAGAAATTCCAACTCGCTAAGAATCGATCGTAGCCAGATACTCTCACATGTATCAAGTGTCAATGCCTGATACTCTGCCTCTGCTGAGTAGCGAGAGACAACTAACTGCTTCTTGTTCTTCCAAAAGATAAGATGAATCACTCGAAAAACACAGAAGCCTGTAGTAGATCGATCGTCACATGCTCCCCCATAATCTGAATTTGAATAATATGCTAGAGAACCAATTTGAGATCCTGATGCATAGAACAACCCAATTCCAGGACATATAGATAGTGAATCTATTGCATTAAGGTCAAATCAACAGATAAGAGGATTCAACCCCTCTTAAAATGTTGGAAAAAGAAGGTACAATGAAGCAAAGGGGTCAAAGGTGTGACAGCAGTGTTTGAACCTGATATGCAGACTGCTGGCGTCATAGTTCATTCTTCTTGTTTTTCAAGAACAGATTAAGCAGTGCTATTACTGATTACTTGGGTCATATAAAATATGATACACATTCTGAGCAACTCCCAATGCTCTTTTTTTTTTCTTCTTCTTCAAGATCTTGTATAGATGAAAGTAATGCAAGTTCTGCAACTAAATTGGAGGATTCTGTGGCCAGAAATTCTACGTTAGCATTAATATTTTCTTCGCAATTATCTCTTAAATGTAATAAATTACTTGGCAGTCATGCTAAACTGAAAAATAAAAACAACTCCCACCACGAGCTTATCTCGGGTGGCAAACGCCCCTCATCTCCAAAGAGGAATGACAGGAGTTGAGGCAAGGACTGCCCTTGGCAGGTTTAGAACCTGAATTCAATCGTCTTAGTCATTCAGCTCTTATTTCCATTTCTTTTCTCACAGGCGTTCAGTTCCCTTCCCTTTCGAGCCTATCCCCAACGAGTCAGGATTGTTCAGAAGTTCAATTAAAATGGAGGAAAAAAAAAAACCTTCTCCAATGGAGCAGAGCAACCATGAGAGAGATGGGAGCTCTACACACAGAAATTATTCAGTAAACAAGACAGAACAGTTGGAGTACTATTAGTTCATCCAGCTAAGCTATGAGTTCTGCTCATGTTCCAGCTTGGCGAGTGGTTATCGATTCAAGCTTTTAGGTTTCTCAAGTAAAACAGATGCTTATGCAATACATAATTGTATCAAACACTAGGTCCCAAGGATCTGATCCAAAGAAAACAGACTGATTTATAAGAAGAAATACAAATTACACAATCCAGCTGACAAACCAAATAGTAATATAGATGGTGTAAGGTTCAGATTTGCAAATTGAAAACAATCCAGAAGCTGCACTAGTAATGGTGCCTATAGGATGTAAAGTATCAGCCCCCATACTGGATAGACCAACAGAAGGATTATGCCAACAGTATTCGAAATGCCATTGGTTTTTGTAAAGGAATTTCTGAAACCACCAGATGCTCGGATGTGTTCTTGCAGCAAATAACACCCGATGACAAGACATATCCCAAGACCAATCCAGTTGCCCCTCACAGTGTCGGCCAAAAAGCCGGGTGACACCACCATGAGAAGAATCAATGCGGCTGGCAGTTCTAGCCAATCTGCATTTACACTCATTATCAGCGACACAACTCATAATTGAAAATATGCAGAGAGAATAATTAACATTTAGCATCATTTCAAATCTGTTATTATGTTTAGCTCATTTATTTAGTTGAAAGGGAAAAGAATGATCCTGCCAATAAAGAAATTGTGTCCTAAATCATAGTTCATTTACTAAAATAGGTTGATTATAAGATGTCCCAGATATCAGGAGATGAATACAACATAACATAAACATATTACTCTTAAGATTTTCTTAACTGCATTGAAGTGTGACCATGATTAATTAACAAGACTAACTGAAAGTGGCTTAAACCTATAAAATGCCGTGGGAAGAAAAGGCGCACTACAACGGCTACGAAAGCTATCCATTTCCCAACTTCTCCCCTGCATTATCAAACAGATTAGAACTATGCAAGAAAATGAATAAGCAATAGCACGAACGAAAATATCGGAGCCATACAGAATGTATAGTTACCTGAACAAGCTGAACACTAATGAAGGCAGACTCAAGAAAATGTAAGGGATTAGAAGGGACGTAAGAATGTTGGTCTTCCAGTTGGTACGGTCCAAGATCAACAAATATCTACAGAACCATAAGAAAACGATGTATTACGTAGTCAACTTATCGCAGAGTAAATTGTTATATATATAGGTAAATATATATATAGTTATTTACTAATAGTGATATATTGATTAGTAAAACATCATTTGCATGTATTATCATAAAAATTAAATAAAATATATATATATAAGTAGGAGGGCAAAGACATGAATCCCACATTGGTTCTTGGAGGTTCTTCATGGATTCATCTTCATCTATAAATAGAGGAAAATTTTCATTCTCCACTCAAGGTCTTAAGGAATCTTCTTAAAAATGAGGTCTACATAATGAGAATTTCAAGTTATAATTTTGCATATGTATATAATATATATATATATAGAAGAAGAAGAAGAAGAAGAAGAAGAATTAAAAGGAGGGAGGCGACGTTCAAACGCTAAAACAATACTTCGAACGTGCTTTGCTCGCAGTACCTTTTCAGAATCTCAGTTTCTGACAGAAGCTAAGATACTGTGACTTCGGTTCATTCAAACACAACCCATGTTCGAACGTGATTTGCTCCCAGTGCTTTGACAGAAATCTTAGAATATCTCAGAATCAAGATACTAAGAGTGAGTACTTCGAACATGACAATCTCGTTTGAATGTAACAGGTATTTCTGTTTGAAAACTAGTCTCTAACAACTACATTATTCAAGCCCTTTCAAGGGTGTGTCTTCTGCCATGGACTTGAAGGGTCACACTCTCCTATTAAGAGATGCATAGAACACTATAAATAGGGT